AAAAAAAAAAAAGAATTAACGTGGGAAAATGTGTAAATAAAGTAAAAAGTTTTGAGGAAAAAAATAACCCTATTTTATCAAATTTTAAAAATCAAAGTTTCAAAAAGAAACAGTTTTTTTTTTTTTGCTGATACAAACGGATAAGCACTGATAACTTTTTTTGAAACATTTATGTTGCTGAAACAGTATCAAATTGTCAACTAAAAAATAGGAATGATAAGGAAGGAGGTAAGTTTTTTTTGGTAATAACAGTTTGGGTAAATAAGCAAAATCATATTTGTTATTGTCCATTGTTGTCGTTTAGGTTCTTTAGATTACTGACACTGTAAACGAAAAGTTAATTTAGCAACTAGTTAGCGGCTAGTTTAGTAGTATATTGAGATATAACCTATTCAACTGTTTAGACTGACTTCTTGTTCTTACACCATTCCATTCAATTTCAACAGTTATCACTCAGACTTTACGCTAAAATAAATCTTCAACAATACTGTCTTTTTTTTTTGGCATTATCAACTTTCTGACTAACCACAAAAAGTAATCTTCATCTTTTTCATCTCCATCATCATCTTCATCATCTGCAGAAGCATCAGCATCATCACAATCATCACTATCGTCATCATCATCATCATCATCATCAACAACAACATCATCAAGAACAACAACAGTAGTTCTATCATCAATTATCGCCATTTAGAATCAGCAAAAAAAGAAAACAACAGAAATAATAATAGCAACGAGAACACAGATTCACATAACACAGTTAGCAGAATCATTGCTAAACAACTGATAAAAGTATGCTAAAAAATTTGTGAAGGATAAAAGACAAAAAACCAAAAATAGTCTATTCTTTCATCGACTATTTGAAAAATTAAAACAAACAAAAAGAAAAGCATGATCAAATTTTTTTTTTCTTTTTTTTTTGTATCAAAAACCATTTTTTACCCAACCAAAAAACCGATTGCCGTTATTGAAAAACAGAACATCAATTGAAAAACAGAGCATCAAATTCTATACTGCAAAAAAAGAAAAAAAAAATACTTTTACAAAAATTAAACAACAAAAAAACTATCGTTTTTTTTCTTCTGTTAATTAATAAGATTTTTGGTTAGAAAAATTGAAACAAACAAAGGAACAAAAAAACAAAAAACACTGTTGTTAATCATTGAAAAGAACAAAACCCGCAGTAAAACCAACAAACATATGTTGTTGATTTTTCGCTTATATATCACATAAGCGCTTTAGCCAAATTTTCTATGTATCATTTTATATTTTCACTCGTCAGATATTAAT